TAATGCCGGCTGATTTAAGTGCTCAGCTATTCCTCAGACTAAAGCAGAGGTCTGTCTCAGGTGTTCAGCTGTAGAACCTAGGAAGGCACCAAGCTTAAAGAATTTAAGAAATTATGCTTATCGCTGATCTTACTTCCTCCTCGAAAGACAGTTCCCCTTTTTTATGTAAAATAGGACTAATTGAGAGTAATTGAATCTTGACAAGTGACAGAGAGAGGGAAGATTTCCTTCATTAACCATTGAGTGATACATACCTTGAGAAGAAATGTATAGCAAATATTTGAGTATAAGCCACAGTTTCTTCCTACCTAGGGTGCATTGGAGGCATGTCAATAAATGTCACATGGTTTTGACAAACCTAGTGAATTGTTTCAAATGCTCTTCTCTGTCAGACTAGTGGAAGTTTTAGACTAAAAAATAGTAAAAATAACAAATATAGCATTCAGCCATTACTCAACTCCATACATGGTCCACATTTTACAGATGAGAAAACAGGTATGGTATAGTTGGAAACATGCTTAGGCCACATAGCTAGAGACACCTACCTATTAACTGGAGAGATTAGGAGACTAAATATTTTTTGACCTGTAGTAATTAATTAATTAAAATCACAAAGTTCTCAGCATGCTCTTTAATTTTAAAAAAAAATTTTATTTACTTATCTTTAGAGGGGAAGGGAAGGAGAGAAGGAGAGAAATATCAATGTATGGTTGCCCCTCGTGTGTCCCCTGCTGGGAACTGGCCTGCAACCCAGGCATGTGCCCCGACTGGGAATTGAACCACGATCCTTTTGTTTGCAGGCCCGAGCTCAATCCACTGAGCTACACCAGCCAGGGTGTATTCTCTTTAATTTTTGAAAGAAAAGATGTCCATTTCATGAGGGGCAGTTACTCATACCAAACAGGGTGGGGCAAAAGTAGTTTTACAGTTGTGGGTATGTGAGACACAGGGTTTATTCTTATATGGATATTTATTAATTATTATATTATTTACTCATATGACAACTGCAAACCTACTCTTGCCCCATCCTGTATAAGCAAGAGAGTTAAGTTGAAATCACACGCATGAGAAAGTCACCACGAGAAGACAAAGTGGAGACACGGACTGTCATCAAAGCGGTGCAGCAAGTACATTTACAGATTAAAATGCATGGAAAGAGAAAACATAAAGAACAAGAAAACGTTAATTGTTTTATAGTGCTAGAATGACAGACAAAAAAGGTCACTTCTTGTTTCACAATTTTCAGATACATTGTTATTGTGATTATATTCTTTTTATAATCAACAACAGTGTATTAAAGAAATAAACTATGAAGCCCAGCCTCTTTCTACATAGGATGGAAGCTGTCGTCCTAAAGTTTTAGCCCAATCTATATGCAGACTAGTTTTTATGATCTATTATCTTCACTCTTGGAGTTGGGAAACTTTTGTCCTTTGTTTTCAGAATGGGGAAGAATATAACCTTCATGTCCATTTTGGGCAGTCATTAGTGAAGACAACACACAGGAAAAAGATCATGTATGGTCATCTATGGAGGGTATTTATTAAAAAATCAAAGTCTCTGACTTTGCTTAGAATCTGTTTCAAAATGCTTAGAATCTGATAAAAGACAAGTTAAATTCAACTGTAGAACTGATATTCAGTCTGCAGAGACCCCAGATTGATTTCAAATATGGGAGAATATATATGTATGTATCTATTTTTCCCCAGAAGCCTTTCTTCTCCCCCATTAAAAATACATATCATTGCCCTGTCCAGGTGGCCCAGTTCAATGGAGCATCGTCTTGTTCACCAAAAGGTTGCAGGTTTGATTCCTGGTCAAAGAAACGACCTAGGTTATAGGTTTGGTCCCCGGATAGGGTGTATGCAGGAGGCAACTGATTGATGTTTCTCTCACGTCAATGTTTCTCTTTCTCTCTCTCTCTCTCCCCCTTCCTCTGTCTCTAAATTTAATAAACATATCCTTGAGCGAGGATTTAAAAAAACACATATCATTTTGCCAAGGGAAATTAAAGGAAATGATTTGAGGTTGATTCAAAACTGAATATTTGAATTCTAATTTGGTTCTAAAGTCAGAAAAATATTCCATCCACCCTTCTGGTATAATACTTTTAAAGGAAACAGAATCCATCGTGCATGAAAAACTAATCTCTGGCCTTTACTGGTGATTCTACCTATTGAAAAGAGTTTGAAACACTGAGTTGTGGAGAGGAAACAGACATTTGATCACAGTCTCTGACTTCAGCTCAGCTGACAGTAGTTTCCCGTCGTTGGGGAGAACACCATGGAGGCATGACGTGGTTAGGGCTGGTTTTAGACCAGTCCTATGCAGACTTCAGTGACAACTGTGCTTTTTTTTTTGCATGAGTAAAATATCAACCAAGTATGAATAAAAAGATGTTACTAATATTTTTGAGGTTATCTGTAATTACAGTACCTGATCTAGTTTTGACTATTATACAGGGTCCAGCAGAAGTAAGGCCTGCTTGAGTGTGGTTGGTGGGGTGATAATATGGGTGCAATAATTTATAGTGTTAATCTGAACATCTCACCTGAAATGCCATATGGTGCACTTGAGTGTGATACTGTTATGTTACACAATTACATGCTTATGATTTTGTAATTAAAAAGGGGTATTATTTTTTCTGGATATTGTATTTACCAACTATGTATTTTATTCATTTGTAATATTTGTACAAGAACAGTTAAAATTCTGCTGAAAGAGCAATAAAATATTCTATTCTGAAATTCTTTGTACAAATATATAGTAATATAATTTTTTAGTGACTAAAATTTCCATATCACGAAGAATTTTGGAAATGTATTTTTCCAAATGTAGGTTAGATGCCTTCTAAAATGACTTAAGTCAATTCTTCAGGAACCAAGAGAAACACCAAAAAGTACAATAAAATAAAACTCCCTACATGATTTCTAAATCAATGAAGCAAAACCATTGTTAAGGTTCAATGGAGAAGCCACCGTGCCCACAGCCACCAATGCTCAGATGGTCTTGGTAACATCCCCCGCCCCATCTCACTGAGATCTCATGTTCTTGAATTCCGCGATAGCCAGAATTCCAAGTGCTAAAGTGAGTGAGAGTGTGTGTGTGTGTGTGTGTGTGTGTGTGTGTTCATGAAAACTCACTTATTGGGGGTGATAAGGTCGGAGAATTACTAACTGAGCAACCTAAATGAATTAATACATATAGAGCACTTAGAATACAGACTGGCACTCTTCCTGAAAACAATACATGCTATCAAAAAGACATTGTCTGTCTATTAAAATATAAAACATTATTTGTTTTCAGACATTACAAACACTCGAATAAGTATAAGCTATTATTTATGAAAAACTTTTATACAGGGGAAAAATAGGGTAAACTATTTTTAACCATAACAACTTAGTCAATTTTAACTTAAAAGCATTAACTTATAATTATACTTATTTGATATAATTTGTTATCTACATTTTATCTCCAGCAATCTCATAACACTTTTTAAATTTGTTGTTCTGTTACAGTTTCCCAGTTTTTCCCAGTTGCTCTCTCCTGCCCCGCCCACCACCCACTCCCACAGTCAATCCCCACCCCATTGTCCATGTCCCTGGGTCACTTGTACTTGTTCTTTAACTAGTCCTTTCCCTTCTTTCTTTCCTTACCCCCTCCTACCTCCTCTCTGGTCCCTATCAGCCTGTTCCTTATTTCCATGCCTCTGGTTCTGTTTTGTTCATTTGGTTTTTTTTTTATTGATTAAGTTTCACTTATAGGTGAGATCATATGGTATTTGTCTTTCACCCCCTGGCTTATTTCACTTAGCATAATGCTCCCCAGTTCTATCCATTCTGTTGCAAAAGGTAGGAGCTCCTTCTTTCTTTCTGCTGTGTAGTATTCCATTGTATGAATGTACCATAGTTTTTTGATCCACTCATTTACTGATGGGCACTTAGGCTGTTTCTAGCACATGGCTATTGTTAATTGTGCTGCTATGAACACTGGGGTGCACAGGTTCTTTTGAATTGGCGTTTCAGGATTCTTAGTTTATAATCCCACAGTGGAATCATTGGGTCAAAAAGCAGTTCCTTTTTGAGGAAATTCCATACTGTTTTCCACAGTGGCTGTACCAGTCTACTAATGAGCTAACTTTGTTATTTATCTCTTTAAAATCCAAAAACCATTTTATAAATATAGCACATTGAGATATGACAACTCTGATCTTTGAAGACTAAAAAAATGGTTCAAGATTTGATAAACAGTGCATGCTTTATCAGTAATAAATACTGGCTTTTAAAAACAGAAATTCAGCACATTTTCCCCTTTCTGATCTCCCTCCCTCCCCTCCTTTCCTCCCTTGCTGTTCTTTCCTTCCCTCCCTCCTTCCCTCCCTCCCTTTTTCTTCATTCATTCACCAAATAGTGCACCAACCAATCTAGCAACAATGATTGGTTGAAGGCTTTTGTTATTTGCATTAATACAAACCAATTAAATAGTATAGTATTTTTCACTTGATAATTTTTTTGTAGCAAATAAAATAATTTCAAGTTACTCAATTTTCAATGTCTGTTGTTCTAAAGACTCACTCCTACAGGAAAGTACTCAAGGTACTTTCCATGAACACAGGGGCCAGTGTTGTCCATATCAGTTTGACCTGATGCTAGCTGTACCTGTTCAGCCACAGTTCGTATCATACCCTCTCTCTGATTTCCCTCTAATTTGGCACCTCATGGTTATCACAACACACCTGCTCTGTTACCTAGGCTATGTCTTCTGTCTCTCTCCCTTGGAGGGCACTCCTAGTACCTGCCCCTGATCAGGGCCTTCTTCCTATGGCAGGAGTAGTATCGAATCCTCAGATCTACTGCCTGCCTGAACAAGGTATTTATGCTCAGGGTTGGAATCGGACTTTTCAAGCACAATCCCTGTGACAGCTAATATTTAAGTGTCTTAATAGGATTCACTTTGCAAAGGATTAAACAAAAACCTATTTCTTAAATCTGGCCTCTTACTCATCTTGCCTTTGTGTTCCCCCTCCTCTTTCTTCCTCTTTTTCAACAGCCTTCTTCAACATCAAGGAGAGTCTGCAATGGAAAAGTAGTCATAAAAGAGAAGCCAGAGCTTTGATCTGAAAGGACTATGGGATGAAGAGAAAAGGAGCAGTCACGCATTCTCATCTTGGTAAAGTGAAAAGGAACCTCAGAGCAGAACTGTGCCGGGAAAGGCACTTCTTTCTTCACTGTATGTGGCCTTCTTGAGTCACTGGTGGTTGCTAGCAACACAGAAGCCAGAGAATAAAATGAGAAAAAGTGCTTAGTAGAACTTGGGAAGTACAGGGAAACAGGAAGTGAGCTCCCTTGCATATTATATGACCATGTCACCAGTATCAATATTAAAAGATGATCTTCTCAAAACAGGACACACATACACACACACTAGTTTCTACTCAAGCATCATGAGACTATTTGGGCTTGAGAATGGATAAATTAATGAGACTATAGTCATATACTTTTAATTCAGGAAATCAGACTATGGCTGAAATCTCCTGCTTACATAGCAAGTAAGTAGAGTGTTAGACATAATACAATTTGAGGACATCTTCAATGATGAGAAAAGTGTTACTTCCATTGGCCACATACTTTCTCAGGGATGTTCAGACACATTATTGGTACAATAACCAGCCCAATTTTTTAGCTTGTCTTTCATACATGTGCCTAGTTTTTGGAAGAAGGCCAAAGACTACATGTTAAGGAAAATATTGCAATCATTTTTTATTGCTTCAGTTCTTATCACTCAGTAGTGCTGGAGAGAGAGGTAATTATCAACCTCCAATTGGTCCTAGAGGAACGGACCTACGCTGCTGCATGAGAACGGAGGCAACTAATGGTAACTGTGAGATGATCCTGAAGTAGCTGGTTCTCATTCTGACCAATAACCATTCAGCTCCATGAGCAGTATAGGGGCTCATATCATCCCTTTGGAAAGGCAAAGTACAAGGCAAAAAGGAGGTCACTCAAGTAGGGTTGTTGTCCTGAGTATGCCTAAGAAGCCCAATGGGCACTCCTCAGTTGATAGCCCCAGTGTTTCAGAAGGTTTGTAGCTAATGGGTCAAAACCCACGATATCTGAAATTTCTACTATCATTATGTCATGGGCTAGTTATTATTCAGTAAGTATGCACTGCCTTCACCGTCCCTCTCCCCTCACTGCCCTTCTCTCAATGATAGAGGGGCTTGGCCTTTTTATGTATTTTGACCAACAGAACGCAATTATTCTGTATAATGATCTGCCTGTTTCAACCTGAGGCCTTAAGAGTTTTGTAGTGTTTTCATTTGCCAGCCTGGGAGTTGCCAACTCTGCCATGACAAGGACAGGCCCCAGGAAACCACTGATCCAAGAAGGAAGAACATCAGGAACCAACAGGAAGGCAACCTGTAGCCCAGAGCAGAACTACCCCAGCCTCATAGCAGACCTATGAGCAAGAAACAAATGTTTATTGCTATATGCTACAGATATTTTGTGCTTGGTTGTTATGTAGCATTACTGTATCAACAGCTAACTAATACACCTCGCAATAAAAGATCAGTATAGACAGAATGTGTATTTTTTTTCTCTTGGCATCATGAAAGTTCTGACCAAGTCAACCAGCCCACAAACTTTGTATTGTATTATACCCATTCGAATTTTCCCTTGGGACCCAGCCAATTACCATTCTTCAAATCTGCCTGATAAAGAGAACAGTGCTCCCAGCCCTCTACAATTCACATCTGTCTAATCTTTACAGACAAGATTCAACTAAAATTTTTATCTTTTATGAGTAATTTCAGATTCTCTCACTTGTTCATTCCTCAGAAAAAGGCACTTCTGCCCTGGCTCGCGTGGCTCAGTGGACTGAATGCTAGCCTGTGAACAAAAAGGTTGTGAATTAAGAGGTTCATTCCCAGTCTGAGCCCATCCCTGGGTTGCAGGCCAGGTCCCCAGTTGGGGGTGTGGAAAAGGCAACTGAGCTCTCTTGCACATGGATGTTTCTCTCCCTCCCTTTCTCCCTCCTTTCTCCTCTCTCTAAAAATAAATAAGCACAATCTTTAAAAAAATTAATTAAAAAAATTAGAGAAGCACATCCTTCTCTAAACTTTATCCCTCTCCTGTTTTACTTAACACCTTCTGCAATAAATTACAGTATTTTTAGTACTGTCATATATCACTTATTGGCTAATATATTTCTTACCATCTTAAAGTACTTTAAGAACAGAAATATTTCTTTTTATTTATTTTAGTTTTATTGAGTTTACTGGGGTGGCATTGGTTAATAAAATTCTATAGGTTTCAGATTTACAGTTCAATATTATATCATCTGTGTATTGTATTTTGTGTTCATCACTCCAAGTCTGAAGTATTTCTCTTTCTTTTTAGACAGAGTAGGCTCCCCAAAAATCACTAGATACAATTTAAACACATCCTTTCCCCTCCAAATTGGCTTTTCCTTTGTATATTATACTCCATAAATGTTATCTTCATCCTGTTTGCCCAAGCCAGAAATCTGAATGATTATTGATTCCTACTTCTCTTACCTCCTTTTTAACTAAGTCCTGATTAGTCCGAATTTCTAAATGTCCATCAAATATATTCTCCTTTTTACATCTCCATCACCATTTCCCCCCAGAATTATTGCAATTGATTCTCTCTTGTTTCAACCACCTCCAGTTTTAACCTTATACAAATAAATTTCCCAAAGAGATTTTTTAAAGTGTAAATCTGATGATTCTACTTGCTGCCTTAAAATCTTTCATTGGCTCCCCACTGCAGTAGAATAAAGTATGAATTTCTTTATGACTTATTATTATCTACTCCAGTATGTCTCCAGCCCTATTTCTGATGGGTGGCCACCTTTTGCTCTATACTTAGGCAAACTGATGTTCAGCATCCCCCAAACCCACTATGATCTGTCTCCCTTATTCACAGTCATTTATTTGCACATGCTACACTGTCTACTGGACACCTGCCCTCTCCTCCCACCATCCTTCCCTTGGTTTTCTCCTTTTGTCCTCTGTATCTCAGGACAGATAACACTCTCCTTTCCCCTTATTCTGGCAAGCCTGGCTAGTGGCCCTTCTTGTGCATCTCTACAGCATCCTGAACTTACATGCTTCTCCATGGCGCTTATTACACATCACTGTAATTTCTGATTAACTTGTAGCTGACTCAGTAGGTGTCCTAAACAAGAGTCATTTCTCCTTCAGACTAGACCCTTGGTATAATTTAAATATCCACACACCTTCGTGGCCATGTACTTATGGGGTGGTGGGCATCAGCCCAAGTCCCCAGGAAGGAAACTTGACTGTCACAGCTAATCGGGGAGGCACCATTTCTGCAGCAGTGGTTGGTTAAGACATTGGCATCTGATACAATCATGACCAATAAGATCATGAAGAGAAGTCAGGGGTGGTCTGTTTGAGAAGGATTTTTCTCTACCATAAAAGAAGACATAAAGAAAAGAAGATCCTTTTTTTATTAGTCATAGTTATTTGCATTTAATACATAGGATACTGACAGACAATTTTAAGCTCATGGGGAACAATTTCAAAAGGTCATCAACTTTTTTTTTACTTTGTAATAGCTGAGCTGACCTTTATTTCCTTTCTTTTTTAAAAAATTATTCTATTGGTGTTCAATTACAGTTGTCTGCATTTTCCCCTTTCCACTCCCCCCAGCCCCAGCCGAACCCACCTCCCTCCCTTGCTTTCACCCTCCTCTTTGGTTTTGTCCATGTGTCCTTTACAGTAGTTCCTGAAAACCCTTCCCCCATTGTCCCCTCTCCTCTCCCCTCTGGTTATTGTTAGATTGTTCTTCATTTCAATGTCTCTGGTTATATTTTGTTTGCTTTTTTCATTTGTTGATTATATTCCAGTTAAAGGTGAGATATGGTATCTTGTCCCTTACCTCCTGGCTTATTTCACTTAGCATAATGCACACCAACATTTTTAAATGGCAATAAGTAAAGATGGAAAGGCCTCATTGAGTCACTGAGTCACTTGAGCTTGGTTTCTGTTATAGCTATAAGCATTCTAACACCCTTCTCTATCTTCCTCACTGCACTGATATTAATAAGAATTCATGCTTGTAGATAGGAACTGTAAAAAACCTTAGAAGTTAAAAAAAATCATAGCAGGCTGCATGGCCTTATGGATTAATGTGGTACCACACAGAGAATCAAAATCGGCTTTTGAGGAAAAGGCTTTAGAAGTCTACTAATTTATTCTCTGGGCCAGAGAAAAAAAGAAAACTGTAATAGCCCTTTGAAAAATGAGGTATGACATGAACACAGGGGCTTCACTGTACCAAATTCACAAGCCTCCAGAAATGTGACCAAATTTAGTTTCTTTTCTGTTCTACCCCGTCCTTGCTTTTTCCTTTCTCCTGCCAGCTCAGGACTTACTTCAAAAGTGGAAGAACTTAAAAGGGGAAAACTCTACCAACATAGTCACCTGAGCTTTGAACAAAGATCTGTGAAAAGGTCAAGGTGATAGTCAAACCCACAATTACATTAACCTTTTGCAGACTGGAACACTGAACAATGTGGTAGTCTCTTTGTTTATGTGGAACTTCTTACTAAAAACAGGAATTTGAAGAGCAGCAAGAAAGAGAAATCCTCTATTTTTGGTCTTTAAACCTCTAAAATAATTGGCAAGCTTAGATTCCTATGATAGGTAACTTCTTTCTACCTTCATCTTATGCATGTATTATGAAGTCCATGGCAGAGAGGACCTATCCTGTCTCTAGCCTATTAAAGAACACCAGCCTGTTACTCATCAGAAATAGAACCAACTCGTAAGGAAATGAAAGGTAATGATGGCTAATGTGGATAACTAAGATCATTGTTTGACCACATTAAAAAAAACAATGAACAATTAAACGTTGCTAATTTGTATACTTAGGGACAGTTGTAAAATGAGATGATTTGCATAAGGTAGAAATGACCTCTTTCTTGAGATTTTAGTAGAAGTATACAGATCCATCTTAGCCCATCCCTTTCATAGTTTGCTTATTTACTAATTTGTGGGCATGGAGATTAAAATTGATAAGTATTAATTCAATTTATCTAATTGTTATAAGTCTATTCCAGTTTTTTAAATAACTTGTTGAGTCAGTTTGGGTTCGGTTTTATTTTAGTGTGTTTAAATTAAAATAAAACTTTATAAATAAGCAATAACAATATTACAGCTTTAAAAATATTTAAAAATGTCTAATTATTCACCCCCAGCCACATGTAGTTAGTAGTTGAAATACTACTCAAATTGACACATGTCAAAAGTATAATCATATACATTCTACATTTTGAAGACTTAGTATGAAAATAAGGATGTAAGATAACTTACAATTTTTTATATTGATTACATGTTGGGATTATAATACAAGGGATATATCAAGTTAAAATATTCTTTTTAAAAATTTTATTTATTTATCTTTAGAAGGGAAGGAGAGAAGGAGAGAAATATCAATGTATGGTTGCTTCTCGTGCATCCCCTGCTGGGAACTGGCCTGCAACCCAGGCATGTGCCCTGACTGGGAATTGAACAGTGATCCTCTGGTTCACAGGCCAGCGCTCAATCCACTGAGCTACACCAGCCAGAGCTAAAATAGTCTTAAAATTAAGTTCCTTTTTTAAACTTTTAAAATGTGGCTACTAAAAAATTAAAATTGCGTATGTGGTATGTACTATATTTCCATTGGGTAGCACTGTTATAGAACATTCATTAGCTTTTCTCACATGATGCCCTGCATTGTATATATTGAAATATATATATAATCTCATTATGATAAACACAAAATAATAAAAAAGGACACTCTAAATATTTTTTGAAAAGTTATATAATTTGTATGGGTGTCTGTTGCCTCATCTCTACAATGGCTGAATGAGATGAGCCTGAAATTCTTTCCCAATTCTTTGAAATTTAATGACTTCATAATGTCCAAATAGATTCCAAGGTTGTGGGTGCAGTTCACATGGAAGTTCGTTTCAGTTTAACAAATATTTCTGGAGTATCTATTTTATGCAAGGTCCTGTGGTAAGGCAATTTTACACCTAAACATCTCCCACTGTATTTAGCACTATTCTTCACTCTTGGCAACTCCTTGCAAAATATTTATGGAATGAATGAATGCACTATTATTCTGCTCTGTCTTACATATTAATACAGAAAGGAAAAATTCTCTCTTTCTTTCTCTCTCTCTCTCACACACACACACACCCACACACCAAATTACTGGCTGTAAATGAAATACTCTCCAAATTTTTCATTTGAAAAACTGAATTCTTCAGCAGAAACTGAAGTGGCCATATAACTGAATGGTCACTGAACCGCACAGCTAAAAATGCCTTGCTTCTTCTGAAAAATGGAAAATGCATTATGATTCTAAGTAAAGAACACTCCAATTTTAGCTACCTTTGTCCTCTTTGACGTTTGTCTGGGTCAATAATTAGCAACACAGCTTCTGAGACTGAATGAAGGAAGTGGATGGTAAACAAGTGCAAATGGGCCACTTTGGGAAAGCCACAGGCTCACAGCAAGAGAGCACTGAGGCCTGTCCCGTCAAGGTGTTCGTATTAGGCCGGCCAAGAAAGGAGAAACGAAAAATTAATAAACCAGAACTGTTTACGCTTACTTAACCAAATCCACTGTTCATTTAATCCATTTTCACCCTCTACTTCAGTGAAGACTTCTAAAATTATTCTAAATGCTTCTCAAAAACTGCTTATCCAATTTTACTACGATTCTTAAACTTCTTTCATCTTTTTCTAAAGCATAAGAGGAAGACACGAGGAAACAAACTCTAACATATTAGCAAGAGTGTTATACCAGGAGCTAGGACACTGATTTCTAGTTTTAGAATAGCTACAAACCTGTGATGTGAAACTGAACAAACCATTTAATATTTTGATCAGTTTCTTTATCAAAAAATGAGGATGAAGCCCCATGTATTCTAAAGCTTAGGGAGTGAGTAAAATGATAAGAAAAAGCATTTATTAATATGAACATGTTCTACAAATGTAAAGTATTTTACACGTAGTCACCAGAGAAGTCTTTTATGAATTAAAGTCTGCTAAGACTACATGTGGGCCTACATCCAAAGTAGAAGACAAAGATAAAACATATATATCAAATGATTACATCTACTATTAGAAATAGCACAATACCCACAAAACTATTTAAAAGCATTTGGAGCAGTGGTTAATTGTACAGACTCTGGAGATAGACTAGTAGGATTTGAGGTCCCACTGTATCATTTACTAGTGGTATGACTTGGACCATATCACTTTACCTTACTATTCTTCAGTTTTCTCATCTGTAAAATGGAGGTAAAGAAAAGTATATATCTTATATGTTTATTGTGAGGAATAAAGGGCTTAATTTATATAAAACATTAGACTAGTGTTGGCACTTGGTAGGCATTGTATAAGTGTAGCTGTTATTTGGGAGTTTACTCTATGGTGCTTTAAACTCTCAGCTCACCTCCCAACTCACATTTGCTTTCCACAGTTTGAAAAACAGCACACGTTCCCCACATGCACATAAGATGGTGGAAGTATCACAATCACATGCTGAGAGAACAAAGAAAAGCAACTCCAGTACCTAATTCAGAAAACTGGAGCCTATATCATTTACACTTTTTTGAGGGCTTATAAATACATGGTGAAAAAAAGTATATTCATGTGGGACCTTGCCATAATTTGTGGTTCTCTTTACTGAGATAACTACAAAAAGTGTCTCGTATTTGTATTGCATTTTAAAAGGCGCTTTCACATCCATTACCTCATTAGAAGTTCAAGGCTATTAAAGGTAGACAATGACTTCATTTTCACTCTCGCCTTTCTTTGAGGAAACAAGTCAACAGAATACTCGAGAAAAAAGTACTTGAGAAAATAGGTGGGCTCTTTGCCAAATACTTTTTGGCAGCTCCTGAGCCCGAGGTGTTCATCTGAGCCAACTGCAGGCCTGGAAGGATCTAGAGGGGTAACGCATCTGCTCAGCAGGCCTCACTGACCCTGTACTGTGGCTGGGTCATACCTTCCACAATCAGGTGTCTGTCAGTATGCCAATCACTGACTGCAACTTCCTCTAGAGGGAGGCCATTTCTGATGCTTCACCAAATCCAAGAGCATAAGGCGCAGAAGGAGACTAAGAGTAGGTAGGGATTTTCTCTAGGCTTTTCACATAGGCTACCCCAGGTTGTATCATTCCATTTGTCGGATTCCAAGGTGATTTTTTATGAGACTGTACTTAGTGGAAAGGAAAGTCCTGGGCTGTTTCTTATCTAATTCAAGCAACTGTTATATCAGCACTGTTGTGTTAGAGCCCCAAGATCAGGCCAATAGGGCAGAGATGAGAGTTCCAAGTAAGTGTTTTTATGGCATCATTTGTTGGAAAACGCCCTAGCAAAAAGCATTGGCGTGGACCAACTTGTAAGGTGCCGTTAACATCTAATCAGAGTGCTTGCTTCAGAGAGCAATTGTGCTCAGAAATTACATGGTCTAAACACTTAATGAAATCTTTAAATATATTATGACAATGAAATAAACTCAATGCAGGTTAATCTTTTATCATTAAGTACAGTAAAATGTCCAAGGTTATCATGATTTGGACTAATAATTGTAGTAAGACTTTGGTTTTGCAAGT